TTCTTTCTCGCTTGCCCCATTTGTTGCGAAAATGCTGTAGAAAAATTACTTATCTCTTCTTTATATAAATTGAAACCTTGCAACAAATGCATGCTGCTGGACAGCTGGAGAAGTTCTTGTTTTCTTTTATGGATTTCACGTTGCCAATTCTTTATGGCGAAATATCTATAGAGGCACTAAATTTAGAGGAAATACTTTGGTCGTTTTGAAGTTTTACCATGTCTACAATCTCCCATTTAATTTTGAATGTGATGACACCCTCATCTTTATGACTAGTTAAAAGCTCTTGGCAAAACGAACTCAAATGAATCTGTAGATCTCAACATCTGGCAACTGGCAATCTTCTCTATGATTCTTTCCCTTTTTGTATCTTATGTGGATTTGTTGTAGGGTTTAGACTATGAATCTCATCAAAAGCTTCGCTGGAAAAGCTTGAGAACCTAGTGTAATATCACCATTCCCAGATATTTGCTGTACATGAAGTTTTTCTCTTTGTACTATTACATGGCTCATTGGTGTACTAAATAGAGCAGGTACACTTGGATTACCTTGAAGCTGGTGCAGATATTATACTCAGTTCATCTTATCAGGTACTGCTTTTGTCATTTGCAACCATTGTTCCTCTCTCTACCTCTTATGCAAAATTGATTGCGCATGGATGCATCTTAAATTCTATCTATATCCTTGTGACTAGTTTCATGTTTTCTCATATTTGGACAGGCAACTATCCAGGGGTTTAAGGCCAAAGGATATTCTCTAGAAGAAAGTGAGTCCTTGCTCAAAAGGAGTGTTGAGATTGCGTGTGAAGCACGAGATGTCTATTATACTAGATGCTGTAAATCTTCGTCTGATCATAGCACAGATGGAAAGGTTCTCAAACAGCGTCCTATCTTAGTTGCAGCATCTGTTGGGAGTTATGGGGCCTATTTAGCTGATGGTTCTGAATACAGGTAGTTTTCAGAAGAATTAGCACTTTATTCCTCTTTCTTTCTCTGGTCTGATGTGATTTCCATGCTAGGACCTAAGGATTTTTTATGGGATGTAAGGATGGTTAGCTACTTGTTCCTTATAGGCATTTTCTGTGAATCTGTTACCTTATTTGCCTTGTGTCTTGTTAAGGCTTGTCATGCTTGTTAACTTTTGATATTTCGTGCATTAAAGTGCATTCTGGGAGTACATGGCCCAAATATTGCAGAACTACTTTTCAGTTTGTTGTCATCTCAAGGTTAAAGAATAAGCACTAACACCCATGAAGTGCTTCTCACAATTCTCTCCTGGTGTCATTAACATTTTCCCTTCTTCTTAAGCACCAACTGGTAGTATCTTTTCATGCATGTGAACTTACTTACTTATCAATTTGCAGTGGGGAATATGGGGATGCAATTGATCTCAAGTTTCTAAAGGATTTTCATCGAAGAAGGGTTCAGCTTCTTGCAGAATCCGGTGCTGATCTAATAGCTTTTGAGACTGTGCCAAATAAACTAGAAGCACAGGTATGGTCGTTGTGGGTTATATATTTAGAGGAAATCTTTTAAAACTACTTATTGCCTTACTACTACTTGAAGTTAGTGGTATCCCTTCTGTTATCATTCTCTATGAATTGCTATGGACAATAATTATCTGCGACACAGCTATTTGTGACGAGAGAATTTTTTTTCTACCACAGTATAATGTGGGAAAGCCTATTCTGGTCTAGTAGCTTGTAATCTTTTGTTAAGATGTTGAGATTGACAGCTATTAGCACCTATGCAGGCTTTTGTCGAGCTTCTTGAGGAAGAAGACATAAAGACTCCTGCCTGGTTATCCTTCAACTCTAAAGATGGTATAAATGTGGTTAGTGGTGATTCTTTATCCGAATGTGCTGCAATTGGTGAATCATGTGAAAAGGTTTTAGCTGTTGGAATCAACTGTACCCCTCCTAGATTTATTCTGGATCTTATTCGATCGATCAATCAGGTAATTTTTTAGTTACAATTCCTGTCTTCTTTCTGTTTTTCTTTTTACCAGAGTTGTTTATCAATTTGGGAGTTTACATGGACACTTTTAATGGCCGCTTATGCTTACTAGAGAAGATGAATATCTGTAATGAATTCATTATTTATTGTTCCAATCTGCTTTATAAAACTCAGACTGCAACAGCTGGTCAACTGAGAACCTCTTCCAGTCTGTTTTACAAGCAGAACCTGTCAGGCAAGTGAAATGATCAAAACAAGTTAAACCTGGTCTAACGAAACCTTATATTTGCCAAAAACTGCGTCTTTAATTCCTTGTTCTATCTCCAAATCAAGAAAGGAGCTCATCAGGTTCATGGCAAATCCCACATTATTGCCTTGTCTCACGACCTATCCAGAGGTTCATTATTTCATTCTTACACTTAGTTTCAAGACTACCAAACTGTTCCGTGCAGACCCATAAGGAAGAGAGGAACCGCAGAGGAGAAATTGTTTTGCTTACACACAGAAACATATGTTTCTGTCATACTGCATGGGAACATATTCAGCAATTTTGGGCCTATAACACCTGCTTATCTTGGACTATAATGCCTCCATTGTCTTGGACTTTAATGCCTCCATTGTCTGGGGTCATGGAGCCATATGTGTGTCCTGTTGAAGGTCTATACTTGGATGCTTCTCATTTTTTACCTATGAATACATGCAGTTATGTTAGGTCTTGCAATGCTAGCAGTTCAAAGTTGAAAGCTAGCTACATTGAACAAGTATCCTAACTTTAATCTGGACTAGGTGAATTAAGGATATGGAGGACAATTATTTCGAGAGAAAATGATTTTTCTTATTTTGTCTCTTGTTTGGATTTTAGGCGGAAAATAACAAGTAAAATTGCGATAACTATTCAAATTCTTCTTTTAAATGTTAGTGGGTCCTTGCTCTTTCCTTTTGTCAAACCAGACAAGCAAATGGAAATTCTCAAGTAAAGCTTAGGTTGCTTATTGTTCTCGGTAACTTTTTCTTATTTACTTAACACTAGCTATTTGTATAAATATATTCTTATAGTCTTCTTATTTTTTACTTGCATTTCTCAGGTAACAACAAAACCAATCCTTATATACCCCAACAGTGGTGAGAGTTACGATGGTGATCGGAAGGAGTGGGTGGTGAGTACTCCTCAGGCTTCCTGCTTTTAAACTGTATCTATTGACTCACCTTGAAAAAGCTTATTGATTCTCATTGATTTGCAAAAACAATTACGTGTTTATCCCTGGTCAGTGGTTTGTAGGAAAGAAACTATGTCATCTCCTTTCTTGCAGAAAACATGGACAGAGACCCATAAACCTTGATGATTTTCTTTCTCTTTAATGTGAATGTTGAGTTATTAGAGGTCAATATCCTTGAAAAACGCCACTTTCATCTTCCCTTTTAGACTCTACACTTATTAATTGATGATATTATGGCCTACAACCTCTATTACTCTCAATATTCAAGCATTAATGTGCTTTAAAAAAAATTCAAGCAGCAATGTGAAACTTTTCCATTTTCTACTATATATAGGTAGCTTAAAGGTGCTGTCTGAAGCGCAAAAGAAGAAGAAAGATGTTTCAAGACAGCAAAGAAATCAAAATCTGAATCTTCAAGAAGTAAAATGAAACTAAAACTGAAAGTTCTGCTCACGAAATAACTAGGGAAGAGCCACTTCGGCTTCATTTCTTTTCCTTAAAAAAAAACAGCTTAGGCCCTTGGGCTTAATACAACCACGAATTTCTAGAGGACTTTTTGCTGTATGCAGTTCATTAAATCCAGAAGAAATATTAATCATAAGCGGTGTAGCCGTATGGTTTTTGGATGTTCTTACTAATATCTATGCTGTAATTACTTCAAATTTATCCTCCTGATATTCTTTCCTCTATGTTGCAGCGTAATACTGGGATAGCAGATGAAGATTTTGTTCCTTATGTTAATAAATGGTGTGATGCAGGAGCATCCCTAGTAGGAGGTTGCTGCAGAACTACTCCGAATACCATTAGAGAAATACACCATGCACTCTCCAGCCGACGTACTGTCTAATCCGAGGAGAACAAAATAGGGGCATCTAACTTAAAAACAAGACAAGATCTTGTGTCTAGTTCGAAAGAATTGTTTCCATCTCTAGTAAAACTGGATGGCCTACATTTCAGAAGAGGTTTCTGCCCTAACTGGAGTCAGGGCAATAAAACGTCCTCCGATTGACCTAGGCTGTTTGTCAGTGGTGTAACATATTTGTGGTACGCGCAGGGTGTTCAAAAGATTTATGAAATTTCAGGTTTTTAGGAACCTGCAAGGATTTGAGCACTTGTAGTCTGTAGTTGCTCAATGAATGTACTGTTCTATCTATTTTACCATAAACAATCTACGAAAACCAAAGTTACCTAATGATTGATGGCCACCATGGTAGCTGAAAGCTACTGTTTGTGTGAAACAAAATGATTCTCCATTTTATGTGATACCATTTGACTAAGCATGAAGATCAAAATCGTAATTTGATTATGTAGTGTGAGAAATATTAAAATAGTTATAAGGAAGTTTGACAGAAAATACCGTATCAAATTTAAAGAATTTGATTTCATAAAATATGTTAAATTTAGAATGGTATTGTTAACTGTCAGTAATAAGGGATGTCCCGGAATTGCAAGTGTCAGAAAAAACCGCCTTGGCGAGAACAGTTGTATTGAAATTAAAAGAGTAATATATAAGTTGAACCAAGGGAGTTGCCATTTGTGAAGAATACCTTAAGCTACACAATGGGGAGAAGTTGTCTTCGTGTGCCTACATCTCACCCTCTTGGGGCGCGGTCCTTCCCCAGCTCCGGCAGCTCCGGCATAAATTCAGGATACTTAGTGCACCGAGCGGCCCCCTAAAAAAAAAACTTAAGCTACACAATTTACTCCCCTTTCGTTTCCCCAACTCCAACAGCCCACGAAACAAAACGCTACACATGAACACTTTTTGCACAAACTAGGACTTGAGAACTAAACAAGAAAAAAAGCAAAGCCACTGGAAGAACTAATATTGAGCATCAGATGGATAATTGACCATCAACTTCGACTAGATATATCTGTTGATACTCATGCAATGACAATATCGAGCAAGACAAATGGAAGTTTCACACATTCATTTTCATGTTGACAACAATATTTCTGGATATAGCACGTGCACGATAGTCATAGCCAACTTTTACAACGCTTTACATGATAAAAATGCTAAAAAGGGACAGCTGATGAATCAGGCATCAAAACCAGAGTAAACACCATTATCCCTAAGCAGCCTCTTTTCCTCTTCAACATAGCTCTTCCCTCTGCTAGCCTGACCAAGATCTCTCTTCCTCTTTTCTTTCTGTGAGAAAGAAAAGTTTTTCCTATCTTTCTGAGTTCGTGCGTGAACCAGTTCCTCTGCTTCCTGAAGTGCAGCCCTCGTCTTCTGGCGCTCCTGATAAGTTTCTTCCTTCTCTTTTTCCCGCGTTTCCTTCCCTTTTGACCACGACCAATTCTGCTCCTGATCTGGCTCCTTGGGTGGTGGAACTTTCAAGACAGACAATCCACCTTTATACCCATGGCGGCTTAGAGCTTCAAAGTCCACACCTTTGCTCTTTCGCTTTGCAGACTCAGCTGAACATAGGCAAAGTTGAATCATTATGCATCAAGCAATTGAATTTGTACTGGGATACAGGACGATATACTACTTTGAAAACTGAGTGAAGCAGGTCCAACAACAAAGGTAGACTCCTAAGTCATTTATACAGTGGTAGATGTAGCCTTCAGCAGTATGCGGGAGCATATCAACTGCCTTCGGCTTGAACTTTAAATACATATTGAAATTACTTTGTTTTTGGATAACCGTGGTGTCCTAGCCAGCTTGTGCGCATATCTAAAATCTCAATCCACTTTATTGACCACTTGGCCACACCCTTGGATGCTATATTGAAATTACTTTTAAAAATATAGTATATTCATACTAACTCTGCACTACTGTCACAAATGATTCGTAGGTACAGCAGTATCCCTTACACACTGACTTAAATTGCCTATACAAGTTATAGAACCAGAACTCTGTTTAGGCTAGAATTCAAAGTGCTCTATTTAAGATCCTAGGTAATATTTCAGACAATGCAAATTCGCGGATATCAAACAAACTGGGATCTTTGGTACTTTATTCCACACATATTGTTGTTCTACAAAACCAGAATAAACTATACTAGAAAAATAAACAATACATTTATGCAGTTACCTGCAATTTGTTTTTAAATAGCATATTTTTACTGAGAAGAAGGGGAGCCTTGGCGTAGCTGGTAAAGTTGCTGTCATGTGACGTTCAAGCCGTGGAAACAGCCTCTTGCAGAAATGCAGGGTAGGGTAAGGCTGCGTACGATAGACCCTTGTGGTCCAGCCCTTCCCGGACCCGTGTAGGGCGGGAGCTTAGTGCACCAGGCTGCCCCTTTATACTTTTACTGAGAAGTAAACCTTTTTTTGTTGGGTAGCAGAAAAATCCTTGAGTTAATAACAATTATGTTTTAAAGATTAAACTTCTCAAGCAAATGGGGTAAAAAGAAGGAAAAAAGTTACCTTGAGAAGATTTATCTTTGGAGGATTTTGAAGAAGTAGTAGTACTAAGTTTAGGGTCGATTTTGGTGGACCCCAGATTGTCCTCAGTGTCAGTATCAAGCGTTGAGGATTCATCTGAAGATGTATCGTCTTCTTCATCACTCCATGGCATTGTCCTCTTCATCCTCTCAACAATCTGCACATTCCCACAAAAGGAATCTTGATTAATTAACGGGTATTGAAAAATACAAATAAAACAAGCTTTAATGTTAATTGAAGCTCAAAGGGTATAATCAAAGATTACCTTGTAGAACTCGAGAGTGAAGCAGAGGAGAATCCTGCAATTGAATAGCTTAGGGCTTAGTTCGTTCCAACGATCGATAAATACGACGTGGTTGTTGAAGAAAAAACAGAAAAAGGAGAAGCTGGTGTTATTTTATATACAGACCCACAAGGTTTCGCTGAATTACAGATAATGCACTGTCCAAGAATTTTCTCTTCAGATAGGCCCCTAACTTTGAAAGGTATTCAAAGAAAGCCGCAAAATTGCGCCACTTAGGACCTTTAGTTTTTTTTGTTTTTTTTTAATTAATTTTAAAAATTTGTTTTATATTTTAAGAACCTATAATAATATGTAATACACTCTAGAATAAAATATCAAAGAATTAAATAGGCAATATACATATTACAATGTGTATACGGTTAAACCCGGAACTACCCGATTCTACTATTGATCGAGATCAGGGAGTTGCATCGAAGGTCGGCCCCGCAATGCATCGACTGAAGCACGAGGACAGGGTATCGAGTTTGAGAATTGAGGTGCCTGTCGAGATCGAGGCTAGTAGCGATCGAGACCAAATAGGGCAGACTTCGAGCAAAGCGCAATAACAGAAAAGCGAGATATCTGTGACTGGCCGAAGATAATGGCGAAAATCTCAAAACAGATCAAATCAAGGGCGGTTGTTAGGCTAATCATGGAATTTATTTCCGTAATTAGAATTGTACTATAGATAGGATTCTTCTACTATATAAAGAGGGTTCCAATCATTTTGTAAGCATCTTACATTCACGCATATTAAAGAAATACAATACTCTCTGTATAGCTTATATTCTTGTTCATCAGTTTGCTCATTTCATAACTATTCGAGTACCGACCAGTTTGAGGGCATTTAAACTCGAGGGCTGAATTAGGTTTCAACACCGGTTTGTTTTATCTCGTTATTAATTTCTCCTACTAATCTTTACGTTTATCAATTGGTATTAGGTGAAATCACGTGTCCTAAAACCACATTATAAGTTTAATTATTGTCCTATTTTTAGGGTAAACAGTTTGGCGCCCACCGTAGGGCTAAGGATAATAGTGATTTCCTGGTATTAATCCTCATAACACACACTGCTTTTCGCTTGTTCTCGTAAGTGTCTTTGATTTCAGAAATTAACATGTCAAACTCTCAAGTAGCACCCACTCACATGGACAACGACCTTGGTCTTTATGGCAAGAACTAAAACGTTGCCGCCCCGGGAAACAGAGCTCCTCCAGTCAACCCCGACGGACCGCTGACCGTAGACCCAGTCGATGTTAGCTCCCCTAATGCCATCAATGGGAATTTGGGCGTCGACCCTGAGAATAGGATCCGCAGGGAAGCTCGAGCAGCCGATCAAAATGCACAGAGCGGTGAAGAAGGCGGAATTAGCCTTCGAATGATTTTCGAGATGTTGTAGACTCAACAAGCTGAGATAGCACAACTCCAAAATCAGAATCGAGCACCAAGCAGAATTGAGATCGAAACATCACAAGAAGTTATTCATAGAGTCGAACATGTACCAGAGAGACCGAACACTAATAAATCGGGACTGACCCCACCATTATGAAAATGCTCGAGGAGCTCACTAAACGGATTGAATCAGGTGAAAAGAAAATCGAGGCTAATGACATAAAGGTAGAAAATACAAGTCCCGGGTTGACCAAATACCGGGGGCACCGCTGATTCTAAAGGGTTTGGATTCGAAGAAGTTCGTGCAGAAGCCTTACACTCCGAGTGCGGCTCCGAAGCCCATCTCGAAGAAATTCCGTATGCTAGAAATTCCCAAATACAATGGGACCACCGACCCTAATGAGCATGTCACTTCTTACATATGCGCAATAAAGGGGAATGAATTAGAGGATGATGAGATTGAATCCGTTCTATTGAAAAATTTTGGAGAAACTTTATCGAAATGGGCGATGATATGGTACCACAATTTGCCGCCCAATTCTATTGATTTCTTCGCCATGCTTGTTGATTCGTTCGTACATGCACACGGCGGAGCAATAAAGGTTATGACTGGGAAGTCGAACCTCTTCAAAGGAGACAAGAGGACAATGAAATGTTAAGGGAATTCGTATCTCGGTTCCAGATAAAATGTATGGACCTACCCCCGGTCACCGATGATTGGGTTGTTCAAGCCTTCACTCAAGGTTCGAACGAGCGAAGTTCGATAGCGTCACGACAACTAAAGCAAAATTTAATTGAATATCCAAATGTGTCCCTGGCCGATGTACATAATCGATATCAATCGAAGATCAGGGTCGAGGATGATCAATTGGGAACCCCTTATAGTTCCGTTTACTCAAATAGGCCGTCAGCAGAATTCAAAGGGACATCGACAGAGAACCCCGATCGAACAGACACCGTTACTAAACATATAGCGCAGATCGTAAAAACAGCGGCCCAGGACGTAATCCCGTTCGAAATGATCGATGAAATGATCGAGGACAGAGCTCCTGAGGGCTCATAAGTAAAAGTGGCTTCGATAAACATGTCGATCCACAGAAGCACCACGACTATCAGAATACAACTTCAACATCGATGCATCAGGTATTATGTCAGCCATCGGACGGATCAAGGATACTAGATGGCCCAGACCCTTACAGATCGATCCAGCTCAAAGGAACCCTAATCAAATTTGCAAATACCATGGCACCCATGGACACAAAATCGAAGACTGCGGACAACTGAGGGAGGAGGTAGCTCGTTTATGCAATGAGGGTCATCTTCGAGAATTCTTATGTGATCGAGCCAAGAATCACTTCAAAAATAGGGATTCGAACAAGCAAAACAAGCAGGAAGAGCCACAACATGTGATTCATATGATGTTGGAGGGGTTGATATTCCTCAATGACCGGTATTCAAACGCACCAAAGTGACAATCACAAGGGAAAAGCGGACCCGGGACTACTTACCGGAAGAAACCTTGTCTTTCAACGACGAGGATGCAGAAGGGATCGAACAGCCTCACAATGACGCACTGGTAATATCTATCCTTATGAATAAAATTCAATTTAAACGCGAGTTGATTGATCCAGGTAGCTCGGCAAACATTATCCGATTGAGGGTTGTAGAACAACTCAGTCTCCAAAATCAAATGGTGTCTGCAGCTCGAGTACTCAACAACTTCAACAAGGCAAGTGAAACTACCAAAGGGGAAATCATTTTGCCAGTAAATGTGGTCGGGACTATTCAGGAAACAAAGTTCCATGTGATCGAAGGTGACATGAGGTATAATGCACTGCTCGGAAGGCCTTGGATTCATAACATGAGAGTAGTGCCCTCGACACTTCATCAAGTCTTGAAATTCCCAACATCAGAAGGAATCAAAACGGTGTACGGTGAACAACCCGCCGCTAAAGAAATGATTGCAATCGATGAGGTAGTACCGGTATCGGCACTTTCATCAACAAAGGGATCGGAGTCGAAGGGAAACAAGAAGTCAAATAGCAATCACAGTCACCGGCCTCGGCTCGATCAGGGGAGCAGGAAATTTTTGAAGATGACGATTATATGATACCTCGAACCTTCATAATCCCCAATGATTCTGATGAAACGAAGTCAACGGTCTTGAAACAGATCGTATCGATTGAGCAGCTGCCTGATAGAAAGGTATGCCTGAGCACGGGGTTAACTCCCGAGCTCTAAAAAAACTCGTTCATTTCCTTTTAAATAACATGGATTGTTTTGGTCGGTCCCACCTAGATATGACAGGGATCCCACCGGAGATCACTACACATCGGCTGAGTTTGGACCTAAGTTCCGCCCGGTAAAGTAAAAGAGAAGGCCCCAGACCGAGGTAAAACATGCATTCATTAAGGACGAGGTAACAAAATTCTAAATATAGGATCCATTCGGGAGTTGAAATATCCTAAATGGTTAGCACACGTAGTTGTAGTCCTTAAAAAGGGAAACAAACTTAGAATGTGCGTAGACTATAAGGATTTAAACAAGGCATGCCCTAAAGATTCATTTCCTTTGTCGAATATCGATCGCATGATCGATGCCACGGTCGGCCACGAGATCCTTAGTTTTCTCGATGCCTACTCCGGGTACACTCAAATACAAATGGACCCAGAGGATCAGGAAAAGACTTCGTTCATCACTAAGTACGGCACCTATTGCTATAATGTAATGATGTTTGGACTAAAAAATGCTGGTGCTACTTACCAACACTTAGTAAATCGAATGTTCGAAGAATAAATAGGTAAATCAATAGAGATTTATATTGATGATATGCTAGTTAAGTCCCTCCGAGCAGAGGACCATTTGAAACATTTACAAGAAACCTTCGACATACTGAGAAAGTATAACATGTAGCTTAACTTGGAGAAATGTGCATTCGGGGTCGGTTCGGGCAAGTTCCTCGGCTTTATGGTATCAAATCGGGGAATCGAAATCAAACCCGACAAAATCAAGGCAATCGAAGACATCACACTTGTTGATAATGTCAAGGCTGTACAAAGGTTAACACGACGCATAACCGCCCTGGGTCGATTTATTTCGAGGTCCTCGGAGAGGAGCCACCGGTTCTTCTCGCTGTTTAAGAAAAAGAGAAATCTCGCGTGGACCCCGAAATGTCAACAGGCCTTGGCGGAACTCAAACGATACCTGTCGAGCCCACCATTGCTTCACACCCCGAAGGCGGACGAGCAACTTTACTTATACTTAGCGGTCTCGGAGATAGCGGTTAGTGGGGTCTTAGTTCGAGAAGAACAAGGTATGCAATTTCCTATTTATTATGTTAGTAGGACCTTAGGTGAAGCCGAGACCCGGCACCCACACTTAGAAAAATTAGCGCTTGCTTTAATAAGCGCCTCTAGGAAATTAAAACCATATTTTCAATGTCGCCCAATTTGTGTTGTAACCACCTACCCCCTTCGCAACATTTTAGACAAGCTAAACTCTCCGATCGACTAGCTAATTGGGCCGTCGAGATCAGCGGGTACGATATCGAGTATCAACCACAAATGTCCATCAAGTCTCAAATCTTGGCAGACTTCGTGACCGACTTCACGCCATCCCTCGTACCTGAGGTCGAAAAGGAACTATTATTAAAATCAGTTACATCATCGGGGGTGTGGACCATCTTCACAGACGGCGCTTTGAACGTGAAGGGGTCCGGGCTAGGAATCATTTTGAAGCCATCCACCGGTAGTACAATTAGACAGTCTATCAAAACTTTGAAATTAACTAACAATGAGGCCGAGATGAGGCCATGATTGCAGGTATCGAGCTGGCTAAGAGCTTTGGAGTGGAGGTCATCGAGGCCAAGTATGACTCCCAACTTGTGGTAAATCAGGTCAACAGAACTTTCGAGGTTTGAGAAGATCGAATGCAGAGGTACTTGGACAAACTACAAGTGTCTCTACATCGATTTAAAGAATGGACCCTAACACGCACCTCAAGAACAAGATAGAAAGGTTGATGCCCTTGCAAATTTGGGGTCATCGATCGAAGATGACGAACTTAGCTCGGGGACTGTCGTACAACTTTCGAGGTCAGTAATCAAAGAGGGACACATCGAGATAAACTCCACAAGTCTAACCTGGGATTGGAGGAATAAGTACATCAAATACCTAAAGAACGGAAAGCTTCCATCGGATCCTAAAGAATCAAGGACTCTACGCACGAAGGCCGCACGGTTCACATTGTTCGTGGATGGAAACGTTCGATGGACCGTTAGCAAAATGTATGGGACCAGGAGACACCGACTACGTCCTACGGGAAATTCACGTAGGCACTTGCGGAAATCATTCAAGTGCCGAGTCATTGGTTCATAGAAGTCATCAGAGCAGGATACTATTGGGACGATATGGAAAAGGACACTAAAGAATTTGTTCGGAAGTGCGACAAATGTCAAAGGTATGCGCTGATGCTCCACCAGCCCAGGGAGCAACTCCACTCAGTCCTATTCCCATGGCCGTTCATGAAACGGGGGACATATATCGTCGACCCTCTGCTATCGGCCCCAGGTAAAGTTAAATTCATTTTGTTTATTACTAACTATTTCTCTAAGTGGGTTAAAGCACAGGCCTTCGAGAAAGTCAGAGAAAAAGAAGTCATATACTTCATCTGGAATCATATTATATGCCGATTCGGAATGCCTACCGAGATCGTGTGCGACAATGGAAAGCAATTCGTCGGCAGCAAAGTAACAAAGTTTTTCGAAGATCACAAAATAAAAAGGATCCTGTCAACGCCGTATCATCATAGTGGGAACGGACATGCCGAATCGACAAACAAGACCGCCATCCATAATCTGAAGAAAAGATTGAACGAAGCTAAAGGAAAATGGAGATAAATATTGCCCGAGGTCCTTCGAGTGTATTGAACAACGTCGAAATCTAGTACGGGGGCAACACTGTTCTCTTTAGCCTACGGTGTCGAAGCTCTGATCCCGGTCGAAGTTGGGGAACCTAGATTCAGGTTTCAGTATGCAACGGAAGAGTAAACCACGAGGCTATGAATACGACCCTCGAATTGCTAGATGAAAGAAGCCGCCCTCGTTCGAATGGCCGCACATAAACAATGGATTGAAAGGTATTATAATTGAAGAGCCAATCTTCGACACTTCAAAATCGGGGACTTGGTTCTAAGAAAGGTCACCCTCAATACTTGAGACCCAAACGAAGGAAAACTTTGCCAGAACTCTGAGGGACTGTACCAGGTCCTCCAAATCGTCGGAAAAGGGGTCCTACAAACTTGGCACAATGGACGGCGAGCAATTACCAAACAATTGGAACGTATCACTCCTCAAACGATATTACTGTTAGGGTATGACATTCTCCATTTTCGTTTATATTGCAGGTGTTCAATCGAAGACATCGAAGGATTCTTCATCACAAAGTCCTTAGGTCTGAAAGCACGCGTTTCACTCTTTTTCCCTTAGTCCGGTTTTTGTCCCAAATTGATTTTCCACTGAGGTTTTAAATGAGGCAACCATTTTTCGTGCTAACTTAGAGCAATTCAACAGTATCCGAGGCTTTTCAATCAACCTCGAATACTGGGGGGGGCATCATCCTCGGATATCGACTTTGTTACAAGGAATACTTCATGTCGACAAGGTCTCGGTAGGTTAAATTTTTGTAAGGGCCAAACTGTCGAACGAACCACCCATGTAGATTACTTGAGCCCTAAAGGCAAACATGTACGCATGTATAATCTATTGAGAAAAGTATTTTTCCTTGCCGAATATTTCATGCCTTAGAGAAAATTTTTACTTTACAATTTCACACTTTTGGTCTATTGTGAAAACAGGCTTAAGGGCCGATCACAACTGAAGTTCAAACAACTCGGGGACTGCGGTCCGAAAATCGGTATAATCAAATTATAAAAGTTTCGAGATCATAAGACCTTAAAAAGGCAGCCCTCATTTTTATAGGCCACGGCCACCCCACTAGGGGAGTGACATTTCGAACAAGTTCGAAGCATAATTGAGAAACAAGTCCAAGTGGCAAATCTCAAGCTAAAGGCTACGGGCAAACTAACACGGTTCGGAGACGTCCGAATTCCGTATTAAAAATAGGCCTTCTAATATCTTTACAAAACTGGTTTAAAAAGGCTACCCTAGGCAAAATTATAAAGGGTTTCAATAACATCAACCCTCGAAAACCCTAAAGGGGTAGCGGATTGTTCGAACTCTCTGAGCAACCTTATTTCATGCTAAGGTATAAAAAATTTCTATATGATTCGTTTTAGCCGAAAAGGGAAAAGAGCCATTCTTTTGAGGCCATATCGGCCTAATTCAAGAGCTTGAGGGCCGTTTTATTTTTTGAGTTCGAGAAGTAATCCTCACTCAACTAAAACCTAAAGGTCATCCTACTTCAAGTTCAAGTAGTTATTCACTTAATTGTAAAGACTACTCTAGACATGCCTCGATCAAACTACCTAAGCTTCGAACTTGCGAGCAAAATCTTCTTAAAGCATGAATGAAGCACAAGGCAGAAATTGAAATGAAAACAAGTAAGAGAGAAAAGAGGTCTTTTATATATAAAGATATTTACAAGGACCGATCAGGATCCTACACAAAAAAAAACCTAAGGTTACTAATTATTTTTGGGGGCGTCTCCCTCTCCATCGGGGTCCTCCCCACTCTCGGAATTGCTCTTGCTTCCGGCATCATCGTCATCATCATCGACGGAGGAGGCCAATGCCTTGGCATCGTCTTCAAGCTTTTTAGCTTCCTTATATCGTTAGTAAGATCGACATCTCGAGAATGAATCTCCTCGAGAGTTTCCCTCCGAGATTGGAACTTCGCGAGTTTGGAAATCCAAAAAGCTCGATTTTGAGCGGCCTCGGCAGATTCTCTTGCTTGGGCTTGAGCAGCTTCAACATCAGATCGGTAGAAGACCACGATCGCCTCCTCGTCAGTCTTCAGTTTTTTTGCCTCAAATTTAACCTTTGCAAGTTCGACAGCCAACCGAGCCTCGAGCTCTTCTATTTTCTTGGCTTGAGCTGAGCTTTCCTCCTTCAGGCCTTGAAGTTGACTTTCGGCCGATGACAGTTGGGCTTGAGTAGCATCTTGCTCCGAGGCAAGGCGTTCCATGTTTTGTTTCTACCCCAAGGTCTCCGCCCTCATCATGTTAACTTCCTCACTGAGCTGGTCGATCTTTTCAGCCTTCTGTTGAACCTGTAAGATCCAAGTATTAGTCATCGTCCCCGAACTTAAGCATTGAGCTTCTAAGATTTTCATTACCTACTCAATCAGGTCGGTCTGCTCTTTATGAGCCAAGGCCAATTCGGCTCGGAGGTCCTTGATCTCCTCTTCTTTTTGCCTGCTGAGAAGTTTTAGGGCATTTCTCTCATCCGTGAGCCTTTAAAGATCGGCCTCGCATTGGCTCAGCTCTGCTCGGGATTTAGAAAACGCATCCCGATGGAGTGTCAAGGACTATGCAGAAAGAAGAAATAAGTACAAGTGTGATATCGATGAGGGGAGTTGAGACTTACCCGACTCAGGATTCGTTGAGCCTCATCAAAGAGACTCGATGCCTCACTCAGGTCGGTAGCATCTTCAACTCCTGTAAAGCAACCACGAAAAAGGTCCTCCCCTCCGTGGGCTCCTTCCACATCGGGAGTCCTCATAGCTTGGGCATCCTGAATTGCCTCCTCGAAAAATGCAAGGATAGTCGCCGAGTCTCCGATTACTATTGCCCCAAGTGAATCACTTGGGGTGTTCTCTTCATTTTGAAGGGCCTCGGAGCTAGCCCCTTCAGGCATACCCACCAATTACTCATTTCGGCAGGAGGCATCTTCAGTCTCCAACAACTCGAGGACTTTGCTCGGGCCTTCTTCCGAGACCTCCTCGGTTCGAGGCTGAATCTCTTTGACCCTCACCAACTCAGCGGCCTTTGGGGCCTCGGTGTTTTTCTTCATTCGAGCTACCAGTTCGGAGCCATCATCTTCATCTTCTTCTTCTTCCTCTGTTAGTCGGTGAGCTACCTTAGCAGGTAGAGGGACAACGTCTGTCTTCGGCTACGAGCCTTACTTTTCTTGGGCTTTGGATCCTCGGAGGTCGAGACCTTTTTTCTCTTTTTATCCTTCGCCGGTTTCGGAACCTCCTCCTCCCCGGACGGGGGACTCATGACAGCATCTTGTCCAAGGCCTGTATGAAAGGAAATCAAGCGAGTATGAAAAGAAACATTTTAGCGAAAATCATCAAATACGCGAAAAAGGGGCTTACCATGATTTTTGGCCTCCCATCGGCCCCTTGCCAAATCACGCCATGAGCGCTCAGCGTACGAAGAGGTCGAAGCCAAGTCCCGAACCCAACTCTCGAAGTTAGGAAATGCATTGGGCATCCAAGAGACCGCTACATCATAGAAAGGGATGTCGATGAGAAGAAGAAAAGGAAACAAAACAATAAATAGAAACTATATGCGGGATTGTACTTATGCTTCATAATCCATTTCTCGGGAAATGGCCTCTTCTCAGCCGGGATTAGGTTGGAAGTCTTCACTCGAACTAATCGGCCCATCCATTCTCGGTCCTTGTCCTCATCTATGCTCGAGAATAACACCTTGGCAGCCCGACGCTCCGCCTCGATAGAGATGGGGAATGTACAACCTGATGAGATGGTCGGGGGTGAAAGAAAACCCCTCGACTTTGCTCGCAAAGATCGGAGAAAAATAACAATCCGCCAAAAAGAGGGATGGATTTGACCTAGGGTTATTTGATATTGGCGGCAAAAATCGACGATGACGGGATCGAGAGGGTCCACCGTGAAAGGGTAAGTGTAAACACTTAGAAACCCTTCCACATGAGTAGTGATGTCTTCTTCTGGGGCCGGAGTCACCACCACTTTGTCTTCCCAATGCCAGTCTTCCTTTACCTGTTTAAGGTCGCTCTCAGTTATCGAGCATATATATCTCAACATTGGCTCGCATCGACCAGGGACTGATGAAGTTTTCTCGACCTTGAAGTCGGAAGTAAGGACACACCCCCGGGAACGCACTTCTCAAGGCGCGGTGCCACCGGTGTTTTATCGCCGACCGGCCGCGATGAAGAAGTTTTTTACTTTTGAGGAACGGTTTTTGACGTTTTTGCCATGTTTGTGTGAGTTTGAAGAGAGAGGGAGATGATAGGACTTGGTGTTTGAGAGGGGATTAACAACAAACCCTGGAAATTCTGAAGAAAGGAGAGACTTAAGAGGTGTAAAAGCTTAAGAGATTAGAAGAAAGTGAAAGTAAAGACTGAATCAATGAGAGAGGGGACCTATTTAAGGGATTCACGACGACGGTTGAAAGGAACTGGTGGCCGACCACCAACTGACGCTCATTAATGACTTGGGAACTGTACCGACGTGACATTTCAGTCACTTACGCCGCTTACGTCACGAGGATGACGCCATGACGGGTCGAAGTACAAAATCGAAGGCTCAATTCGTTTCTTCTCATTACACTCCAAGAAACGAGGGGACTATCTGTATACGATTAAAACCGGGCCTACCCGATTCTACTATTCGATCGAGATCAGGGAGTTGCATCGAAGGTCGGCCCCGCAGTGGATCAGACCGAAGCACGAGGCAGGGTACCGAGTTCGAGAATCAAGGTGCCTGTCGAGATCGAGGCTAGTAGCGATCGAGAAAAAATAGGGCAGACTTCGAGCAAAGCGCAATAACAGAAAAGCGAGATATCCGTGACTGGCCGAAGATCATGGCAGAAATTTCGGAACAGATCAAATCAAGGCAGTTGTTAGGCTAATCATGGGATTTACTTCCGTAATTAGAATTGTACTATAGATAGGATTCCTCTACTATATAAAGAGGGTTCCAATCATTTTGTAAGCATCTTACACTCACGCATATCAAAGCAATACAATACTCTCTGTCTAGCTTATATTCTTGTTCATCAGTTTGCCCATTTCATAACTATTCGAGTACCGACCAGTTCGAGGGCACTTAAGCTCGAGGGCTGAATTAGGTTTCAACACTGGTTTGTTTTATCTCGTTATTAATTTCTGCTACTAATCTTTACGTTTATCAATTGGTATTAGGTGAAATCACGTGTCCTTAAAACCACATTATAAGTTTAATTGTTATACAATTTTTAGGATAAACAAATAGTAAAAAATTTATGAAGTTTTCCACTATGATTTGGTTGCGGTTTTGAATGAGTAGTTGGTTATTTTTTAAAATGAACGTGATACAATTTGCTTGCGAAAAATAATTTCTTTTGGTTGAATGTATGTCATCTGTACGCTTGCTTAAAATTCTATGACAATGATGGTACATTGATTTAGTTCTTCTCTGTAATTGATGTTAGCTCATTTACTTCTAATTCTCTTCTTATCGTCATATTAACAAAAAATAACCTTAATAATAATAGAATCAAATAGTAATTTCCAAGTCGTTCTAGCATTTGGAAATGAAAAAAGGATAGAGAACTTTCGTTAATAGCAATTGATTCATTTAACGAAAAAAGGCTAAAACTACCGTTAACTTATTCGTTTTGGTTTAAAACTACCCAATTGGACCCATTCATGCCCTTATATCTGACGGCCATATTTTGATTAAGAAAAAGTTTTATTACTTATGATATGTCACTTTCCTATTGGCTAAAATTAAATCCTCACCCCACATTCACTTATTAGCTCATCCCATGACTCAAAACATCCATACCCGACCCATAACTCGCGTTTTAAAATGCCCTAACTTCACCTCTCAACCTCTCATCTTCCATCCTGCCATCCCACTCCACATTTTCTTGGCCAAATGCATAGACAACCCCTTAAACTTGTCCTTATTTTCTACCTAGACACTTTATCTAAGCATATGACCTATTGGGCACTTGAAGTTAATTGAAAGTGTACCAATTAAACTCAAATTGCTGACATGGTAATGTGCGTGTTTCACACCTCTTTTAAGGGCTTGAATAACTACATAAGCTACTGACATGGGACACACGTCAGCATGAGAAACAAACCAAAAGGTTTAAGTAATATTTTATTAAAATTATTTTCTTTCTTTCTCCTCCTTGCCGCAGCATCAAGCCCATCATGCCCACTATAGCCACTGCCTCCGGCGTCCATCACCATACCCACTGCAAATCTGCAATTATGTCCACCTTTTACATTTTGTTCATAATTTACATTCCCTTTACTAACTTGCAGGTTAATTAATTCCAGGTATGAGCTTTGTTTTACCGGAGAAAAAATGATGACTACTTCAGCATCACATAAGCCTGAAACAAATAGTGATAAACCTCAAGCTCACAACTCACATGTGGCTTTCACTTTCACCATCACTTCGAAAATACACATCCCCATTCCTCCGAATAGAACCGTAACGATTACCACCACCACCACGGTTGTTAGGCCAACTACCACCATCGTTGTTATGGTCGCCGTCGCAGGGTGCTCCCCTGTTAACAATTATTTTAACTTGAAATTCTGGATCAGTTCCATTTTTAAGATTTTAGAAAGTCCACGATTTCTTGATCCATGTTTAATTTTTTGAGAGATGCACTAAAATAGTGAAAATCGAAAATGTGGGGGTGGAAAACGGTGATTTTCAGATATAGGAGAAGTTGGCTCATGGAAGAGAAATGGAGTAGGGTTCCAAAATTTGGAGGTTCAGTTGTGGAGGAATATTCAGATTGTGACGTTAATAAAAGAAGCGGAGAAGAGTCCGATAGGAAGCTTCAAACTCTATTTGGGGAAGAAACAAAAATGGGGGTTGAGATTTTAAAATAGTTTGGTTTTTATCTTCAGTTTTTTCCAATTGATTATTTGTAATTAAAATGGCCACGTTTTCGCTTCTCGTTGACTTATGTGCCACGTCACTGCGAGTGAGATACACCCATTTTATGTTCTTGTATCTTGTGTCTAATTGGTGCACTTTCAATTAACTTTAAATGCCCAATAGATTATGTGCTTAGATAAAGTGTTCAGATGGAAAATAAGGACAAGTTTAAGGGGTTGTTTATGCATTTGGTCCATTTTCTTTAATCATCCTCCTTCGTGGCCAAAGTACAATAACTCATCATTGCTAATAGAGGACTACCATCGGCTTTAACTTTCAAATCTTCGCCCTTCAATACACACGGATCT